TCTAAAAAGTATATAGCAGTCAATAGAATTGGGCATTCATCCTGGACCATTTGGATAATTTAAATTATTTCATTGCCATTTTCTCTATTAATTTTACGGTGAACCCAAGGTTTTTGTTCGCAAAATTTCCTCTGACTTAGCCTTGACTTACCCTTCCCATTGATGAATTCTAATCACCAAATTCCTTTTTATAATTATAAAACAAATATTATTTTAATCTAAGACATTTAAAATAACTGATAAAAAAAATGAATTTCTAGAGATACACAAAGTGCTCCGCCGTTAATTTTAGCTTCAAATTTTCAATTTAGATTCATTAAAATTTTAATTTAGCCATAAAAAACTATTGATTTATTTGTTAATTTTACAAAAATGTACAAGTTTTAAAATTGTGTATGCTATCGACTGTCGTTAGTTTTGCGCCGTTTCAGCCTTGCTAGAAATTATTGCAATTAAATTATCCCGTTATGGGCAGCAATTGCCTTTGTGATATATCAATAAACACAATTTGCAACTAAATTAGCAGCCAACATTTTAATTGAATTTTGGAACCCAGAATTCCGTTTACAAATCTCAAATTTCAATTTGAATCAAAAAAGGATACAATTCAGGACAAATAAACGCCGATAAGCTTTAAACTCTTTTTGCAAAATTCAAATTGATATTAATTTCCACTTCTCGATCGAGGCATTGGTCTAAAAATAAAAATAAAAACACGCGTTCATTGTGCTGCATCATGGTTTTCTCTGTTGGAGTGGATAGCATCTCGTCGTTTTATTACACCATGTTGACCGAGTCATTTAACATTCATATTAATTGGCTGCTGAAAAGAGGCGCTAGAAACAGGTCGGCTCATTTTATTAGTCCCTCGCACACACACACTGGTTTTTTCCTCTTTGTGCTGCCCCTTGCAGCGTGTTGATAGAGCAAGGTGAATGGCCGTCGGCCAGCGAGACACCTTATGTGCCGCCACTTTTTTATACTTCGACATTATTCTGCTCGACCTCTGTTGTGCATTTTCTTCCTCGTTGTTCAAACTGCCAATAAAAAAATAAGCCCGAGATAAAAAAAGATGCAAATGGAAGAATGGCAAATTTCTTCAACTCTTTGGGCGAAAAACGAGGCATGAATCACACATTTAGCAAGACATGGATGCCCCTTTTAAAGCTCATTACCAGAGCCCGGTTATGGCGAGTGCGATGTTTAAATTCGCAACCTCGCCTTTTAAATGACAATTGATGGACCAGCCGAATGCCCACGGAAAACTGATTGAACTTTTGTGCTCTCTCTCGAGCAAATGATATTGAATGTGGGAGCGTTATGGAGCTCATTAGCGCAGCAGCGGCCCGACCTTTTATAGGCCAGAAAGAAATGCGCACGTTGATTATTATGCGAATGGTACACTTGCTGTAAATATGGCCGTGCGAGAGCACATTTATTATATTTCTCGCGTATATCTGTCTGCCATCAGCAAAGCACTTTGGCTCCGCCGCTCGGCTCATTTCTTTGGCAAGCACCCATCCATCCAGAAAAAACGATTCTCTCCACACACACGTGCCACAATTTTTAATTCCAGATTTACGACCGCGGCCGTAAATCTGTGTCGAAATATATTTCATCCCCAGGTGAAACGTTTGGAAATTCAGAATCTTTTTAATTTAAAAAATAATATGCAGGAGACTTGTTTGTGCGGAAAATGAATAGACGCGGACGCGACAGCAACAGTTGCATAAAATAAATATGCCACAAGAAAGTGGAGCTAACTGTGTCTGAACACGCAAAAGCAGCGCACTTTGCAAAGATCACACTCTGTCAGTTGTGATATTCACTAAAGATAAGCAAATTAAAAATAAAGTGGGTAATAAATCGCCTCATAACATCAAGTTTACTGATTCCAAGAATCATATTTACTATCTTCAAACTCAATCAAAGAAGAATAATTTAGGTTTAAATCAATCTAAAATAAGGTTTTAAAATTTAAATTAATAATAAAAAATTTAATAGTCAATAAAAGGTTTGTTTAGGCTAATCAAGAATGAAATTTTCTCAGTAAATTTCATGACGATCTTACAGTTATTGATCATTTTGGTGTCTAAATTTTCTTTTATAAATGAAATTTAAGATAAATAATCCCATTTAAAAAATCACAGCGTATGAACATTATTTTCTAAAATTTTTTACTTGTAAATAATTTTAACTCATTTTCCAGTGATTTTTGTCACTTATTTATTGTTTCAAAACATTTTCTCGTTGGCCTGTTAACGACAGATTGTTTTTGATGGAAACAGTTTTCACTTCTCAAAGATATATAATCTGTGTGCTTTGTGTGAAGCGTAAGTGTTGTTGTGATGATGATAATATGTATCCGTGTGTGTTTCTTGATGATAGCAGCACGGTTGTTATTACATATTTATTTTGCACGTGGCACGTCGGCCAGCCGAGGGATCCCGGAGGTAGAGCTGCCCGAATTTGCGTTGCGTGATGCAAGCAACGATTTGAGAACGCAGCGCGCAGATTATTGTTATTATTTGCACATCTCATAATTGCGGCTAATTTCGGCGAGAAAAAGAACACCAAAACGGAGCGTGTGATTGGGTGAAATTTGGAAATCCCAATTCGGGGAGCGATAAGTCCGGGTGAGAAACAAAAAGTGATGCCTTTTAGTGTGGTCTCTTCATTTATCACAATGACCTTCAAAAAGTCAAACAATAATGAGGCAACAAAAAGTTCTCTTTTGATTCATATATGGACTTGTGGAAAAGCAAAAAGTATTCTCGACTTTTTTAATTTGCCCAAAATTTCGGTTGAAAATTTAACTTTGCTAATTGCGGCATTCCGATTCAAAACGTGTGCAAAAACAACTGGAATTTTCCTTAGAAAAAAAATATCAAATTTAGAGTTTTTTGTAATATTTTGAGACTCTTTTAGCAGAATTCCACTCATGATTGCAACTGTATTAAGTTTTAATTAAATTAGCTGCTAAAAATTTAACAAAAGCTTCAAGCTTACTTAGTTTTATTGGAAGAAACAATTTGATATTTGAATTATAGTGCCTTATTAACTTCAGTAATCAGCGTCATTATAAATTTTAAAGAACAATTGTCTCCAATTTCATTAATCAAACACCATAAAAGTGATGTTACTTGAGAATTTTTAAATTAAATTTAAACATAAATTTTTAAGTAAAATAAAAGTTTTTCACTTGAACTCATAATTCTCGGAGATATATTATTTTTTCCTTATTTATTATAATTATTATGGAATAAATCTTTGTATAAATTTTTAAATTCATACTTGTCCTTGGGTGGATACGATGCCAATCACGCGATTTAAAATGAGGGGAAAAAAATAATTAAATATTGGGAAACATCAACCATGGATAATTTAATAAAAGTAATAAATTGAATAATTTGGCTACTTTGATAAAAATAGTTTGATTTTTTTGTTTTCCGTTTCGGACAGGGCTTTTATAAAGAGACCGGACGCGCAGACTTGAAAATTGGCTGCTGGCAAAGCTCAAATTTCGTTGCTTCTCATTCAACGAGCAAATGAAGAGTGCCTTGTGAGAGATAAACAGGAAAGTAGTGTCGAGATGTGCTAATATAAAACAAAGAGGAAGTTGTCATGAATGAAAATTTATTCAGCCTCTCACCACGCGTCACTGCGTGTCTCTCACACAATTATCGGCCGCACTGAATATTAAAAATGCCGAACCGAATGAGATAAAAAAAAGTGTCCATTCAATTCTCAGACAAGAGAAAAATCACCTTGAGACGCAATTTGTCATATTCCGTCGGCGAGAGGAAAACATCAAAAGTCAATTTGGGCGGGGGCCACCGTGCGGAGGAAATGACTTTGGACCGTTTTACTTTTATTGGCGGAGCGCGACCTTTGACCCTGGCAACAAGGCATGATGAGCGCGGCGACCGCGGTGTGTCACCCTGCACCAATCTCTTTAAAGTATCAGTTCGTGCTCTGCTTGAGAGACGAGTGAACTTCCAATTCGATTTCATTCACATTCCGAATTGATGCATTGAAAAAAAGATGAAATAATATGAGACACGGAAGTAGCGATAACGAAGCCTCTTCATTCAGCCGTGGAAATTTTCCTGTTGCTGCTTGGGATGCGTGTGGCCTTGACAGAAAGAGAGTCTCGCTCTCGAGAGTTGAATAATAATAATTATTGAAAAGTATTCATTTCCATATTGGCTTTAATTATCAAAATAATCAAAAAAATTTGAAAATTTTTAGTTTTTTATGAATTAGGTTGAAAATAGGAGAAGTAATTCAAATGATCAGAGAAATCCATGTAAAAAATGTCATATTTCTAATTCCATATTTGCAGACTGTTTTCAGGTAAAAATAACTGAAATACTTAACTAATAATTAAGGATTTTTTTCCCATTACAGAGTAAATAGAAAAAGGCGCTGGTGATTCCAGAAACTATGTCACTAAAAATGTACTAAATTAAAAGCTTTGTTTTGAGCTTTTAATTTTTGTAGGCTTGATCCCGGTACTAGACTTTTTCAATACTTTTGAGTCTACAATATTTTTTTTGATTAAAATTAAAAAGTCTTACATTTGCTAGATTTTTGTAAATAATGACTATTGATGATTAAAATGTTGCAATCTGAATGGAAAAAGTCGAAGGTCTTTCCCTCAATCACAACCTAGACTGAATAAAATGTTTTCGAGCAATATTCAATTGGAAATTCAGCTTCCAATGTGACCATCAAAGATGACAAATATTGTGTAATTTATCAAATTTTCCACGCATGAAGGCAATATTAATATTAAATTTGCGTCACATTATAGAATGAAATCAATCTCGTAAAATGTTTAAAAAAAATCAGTTTAAATAAAAGTATAAATTACAGGAAAATAAAAATATTTGGAATCTGTTTATAAAATTGTCGTTCTTGGTGTAAACAATTTTCAAAACATGTCGGAAGCCTTATCAATGTTTAAACACAAAAGTGTGTATTTTTCGGACACTCACCGGGACGGTGCCTCTTCTGGTGGGCGCAATCGGCGGAAACTTGGACTGGGCGCCGAACGAGGGCCATTTGTTGGAGGAGTCTCTGGTGGGACTGGCGAGGAGCGAGTCGTCGGACAGTTTTTTGTCGAAGAGGTGGCGGTGCTGCCGTTTGCTGGGGTCGGGCTGCAGGGACGTCTGCATGGTGCTGCTCATCCTGCCGGACACGCCGCGTCCGAGAACTGAATCGCGCGCGGATTCCTTCTCTGTGCGTCTCTCTCTCTCTTCGAACAACACAAACAAACGCTCCTCGTGAGTGAGTGTGAGTGTCTGCCGCTTCACATCTCCTCGGCCTTCGAGATGCCCACCTCCGTGCAGCTTCTTCTCGGTTCCCCTACCGCGAGCGAGAGAAAGATGCGCGTTCGCCGCCACTTCCCCGTTCGGCTCCATCATTCTCATTCACCGCGTGTGCTGCCTCTATCTGCATAAATACGCCGCTCGCTGTCAAGAGATGCGTGCTTTTTGGCAACACCACTTTTTGTATCGAGGGGGACCAGAAATTTCCAGATTAAGTCAAACCTTTATTTTGAAAATTCGAGTGTACAACCCAAAATTTCTTTCAGTTGATTTTTTTAAAAACATTTTTATAAATTAAATGAAAATCACAGAATTTGCATTCAATGACAATAATCTATAATTTTACAACTTAATTTAAATGAACATAATTCAACTAGATAAAGTTCAATCTAGTTTGCAGATTATACTTGCATGTATATGGATTTTTATGCCTTTTTTTTGAGGAACATCAATTTTGTAATTTTGGTAATTCTTGAGACCAAGAAACTGAAAATATGTATGAATCTAGTGAATGTCGGCGTATTTTTAAAATTGATGTAGAATGTTAAATAAGGTATATTATTTGAGACTGATTTACCTATTCTGAATGCCTTTAATTCAAATTAGTTTCTATTTTCAATTTACTTGTTTTTGTTTATGCGTATCATTTAATTTTTCCCCAAAAATTAAGAAAATGAATTTAACAAATTTCGCGTTTCTTATCACCTTCTTGCTTCTCCTTACTATAACATTGCAGTAAATTGGGAAGTCTATCAAATCAAATTAATTATTAAAGTTAAAACACAATATAAAAATATTTGATTTATTTTTTAGATTTTGAATTGCATCTTCTAGAAAAGTGTTGGCGTCAGGCATATTTAAAAATTTATAGGCCTTGAAGGTTAAAAAGCAAAAGCACGTTTTTCTTCTTCTCAATTTCTAATGTGTTCATATAGAGTGGTTTCTGAGGGGGAAGGGGGTAAATCGCTAACTTTTTACATTAACCCTCAACCTCAACTGATAAACTCTCTATTGAAGAAACTTCATGCCATATTTCGCAAGAAGTCAATTGCGTTGAATAAAATAAGGATTTATTTCTCCTTTTAAATGTTTTAAAACATTTACCAGGTAAAACGTTTAATTTCCATAATGACCAATTTTATAAATCTTAACAACAATTGGCATTTAAAAGAACATTAACTCATGGTCCAATGTTGAAGATTTATTATGTTGCTTGGACATCTTGAAATTATTTAATGATGTCCCATGCAATTAAATTTAACATTCAATTAATTGAATATAGCTTGGTGCTGCACACCACCGTGCTGATGGAACAAGAGAGATTTCTTTTTATACGCTTTCAACTTGGGATAAAACGTCAGGGACCATAAATAATGATGCAATTGAAAGCGTTTGATTTGGTTTCTTTTGATGAAGATAATTCAATTGTATTTTTATTTCGTAGCTTAAAATGCTGTTGAATATAAAATTCATATTTGGTAATTTATCATAAACTGGTTATGCTAAAAATTTTAATGACTGATTTATTTGTATCCACTGTTCTACTAATAAAGATAAAATGAGCAATTAACACCGATTTTAATTAACTTTTTCTATGAACTTCGATAATTACACTTTTCCTTATATTGAGATCAGGGCTGTCTAGTAATTGTAAGTTCTAATGAGCAATTAATTATATTTGCATATAATCCTCAATACTAGGGTAGGGGATCTAAATAAAATATTAAATTTTTTCCACAAGTGTCATCATTTAAAGTATCCAGTTCTTGAAATTATATAAAATTTTGCATCCGTAGACGGATTGACGACTGCCTGGTTTCCAATTCTGTAAGCCTGTTGGCTCCATGACGAAATGTGAGAAAATACGATATCAAATTTTTAATTTCTAATTTTCCGTCTCGTCTTTTTATAGCACAAAGAAGTAAGGCGCAGTAAATTTTTTCAAAATGTTGTGTAAGGAAAAAATTATACATTAAAGACATTTAGAGTTACTTAGTAAATTAATTTGAACTAAATTCAACACGACCTTCTCATTAAACAGTGTCGCAACTTTTGAGAAGAGATAAATGTTTAGTCGCAGGTTTATTTAACCATCAACCGCACAGACTTTTATTCCTGGGCTGGCCATTAAACAACGGCTTTTCATCTTTGTATAAACCTCGGGCAGGCGCGATCTTAATTTATTAGTAAGGCGTTAATTATCTTTTGCGTCACCTGTTCTCTAATTAATTTCCACCGCCGCCGACAAAAGCAGGAGATGCGCGCAAGTCTAAACCGCAGCAGTTGATATAAAATAAATAATTTAACGGGCATTTATTTAGCAACATTCTGTAAGAGAGATAAATTGTTATGGATGCCTCAGGGCCGCTCTCTTGTGTGTTGCATCAACTTTGTTTTGAGAAGAATTTGCAGAGAAAAAATATAATGGTTGCAATTTCAAATTGCAAAACACTTTCTCAGATAGAGCATGAATAGAAATTCTATATTTAACAGTTTTGAAACTTCAAAAATTGATGCGCATATTTTTATGAAAAAATTTCAGCATATTAATACAAACTAAGAAATTGATGTTATTATCGGTTATTAATATCAAAAATTACATGTGATCAACAATGCTAAGACAGAATAAATTAAATTTTGATCACTGCCACGCTATCTCGGGAGGAAACAGGTAAACTATAATCAAAGAGAATTGCAATGCCTCGTTTTAAGTTATAGTTCTTTCAGCACAAAATTAGTAATTTATTATTTCAAAATTTTGATACCTTTTATAATAAATATTTGCATTCAGTTTAAAATTAACTTGGTGGGAAAAAGAAAAAAAATAAAATGAGGCGTTTTTCTTCCTACCCTGTGACAGAGGCTGCACGTGACCTGCTTTTTCCTGCTCAGGATGGCGTGCATGGCCATCAGCAGGAAGACGAACAGGGTGTCGCAGGACAGGCCGTTGAAACTGCCCTTCATTTCGGCAGAGGTCGGACGGAGGTGGCAAATCACTCGCGGCGTCTCGCGCACATGGTGAACAAATCGCTTTTGTTCTCCAAACGCCGAGTGGAAAAGTGCATTTGCGAACAGAGTGGAGGGAAGAAAACGAGTGTGCATGCGCTTTTGCCCAAGCAGTGCAACGCTGCACTTTTCCATCTCTGCCCCGCAAAAATTATTTCGGCTCAGTTTTTGCAGACACGTTGGTAAAAATTACGCTGTCATAATTGTTCATGAATGTTGATATGAAATTATAATTATCATAATTATGTTATTTTTCTATTATATTTTTAACTCTGTTAGGTTGGAAATTTTAAATGCAAATGTGAACATTTTCAATTACATTGTGCAGCTTTGCAAAACATTATTTTACTTTTCAAAAATTATATTATTTTACTTTCTGATTTTTTTTTTCCAAAATCCAGGTTAATTTCAATTTTTGAATAGTAAAATATTAGTTAAAATAATTTTTTTGATCTAAAAAGTTTATAATAATGATTTAACCATGGGACTAATAAACAACAAGAATAAAAAAATATGTTATTTGCAAAAACATAATGCATAAAAATCAAAGATTTTGCTAAAAATAGTAAACTTTAAACAGTGGATAATTTAATTTTTTATTAATTATTGTAAATCCTGAAATTAATTTCAACTTTGAACAAGTGTCTTTTGGTCAACAATCAAACCATGAATTCATAAAATAAAAAAATTGAAAACTCATTTTATTTGTTGTATACAATATAATTATTCTGTTTTTAATCAAAATTTAATGATCAAATTGCCTTTAAACAACATTGAAATCATTTGACCCAGAATCTAAAAATTTGAAAATTTGTTGTTTTTAAGTCTTGCTTACTTAAAATTTCAAATTGAAGTGGCAGATTTTAAATTAATTTAATTGATATTTACATTTACTGAACTTGTTTTAAATAAACCTTTATAGTTAAATTTTATAAAATCATTTTGAACCCAAAAAATTTCATGAAACTAAAGTAATAAACAATTCTGAAGCCTACCTTTGGTTGATGTGAGTCTGCAATCGCGCAACATCCATTGCCCATGAGGAGGAACTGGGCACCCTGCAAAAACCGAATTAAGCGAGATGTTAAGCGTAGAACAAAGCAAACCCAAGTGAGCAAATTTCGTTCCGGCCGGCTGGAATCGTTTCAATTCTCCAGCAAGAGCCCCGTGTCGCCCCTACCCGGCCCGAGGGGTGACGTAATGAGGCAGAAACGTCTCTCGGGCACTCTTTTATCACGAACGACTCTATGAATTTATTTAGATGCATCTCAAGTAGCGATCTTCTCTCAGCAAAACAAACACCTTTCAAGCGCCGGCACGACTTTCGGTTTCGTTTTATTGAGAATCCCATGTTAAATAGGACAAGAGTGTCACGTGCGCTTCCAAGAACTGTCAAGAACGAAAAGTTTATTCACTTTTATCGTGATTGCGCGTCTTATTAAAGAAGATAAACATACATTGTTCAGTTTATGTGAAGAAGCAAAGTATTTAATAAATAATGATGAATTAAAAATTCTTATACAACCAACCAACGTAATTTAAATTCCTTTTTTTTTTGTATTATGCTGTGCATATCTTGTGTACCCAGGAAGGTACATAAGTGAACAAATTTTTACTCAAAGATTAAATTATTGCTGTTCACTCTTCAGTACAAAATGTAATCATTTAATAATTTTGGTTTTTCACTGAAATTTTGTGCCAAAATTTTCAATCGGAACATTTTATTCAAGAAAGATATAAATATAATGTATAAATTAAATAATAATTAAAATATTCAGGGAAGTAAAGAAATATTTAAAATAAAAATTATATTATTTAGTATGGAGAAGATAAATTATGTAGTTGTTTCAAGGAACACTTTTTGGAATTTATTAATTTAAGCATACGTTTTACATTTTCGTTCTGTCTTTGCTTGGGATAAAAACAACAATTTTTAGCAATTTAAAATTGTTGCTTAACTGATCTGCG